TGGTATTTGTAGTACCGTTAAGATATTCGTTCAGTTTATTGAAATTTTCATTAATAATTTGTTCGTCGTATGAAATCTTAAAAATAGTCTCGTTGAAATTTCTTATAGTGCTAGAAGTTATTTGAGTTTGTTTCTGCATCAGAGAGGTAAGATCGAGTTCGCGTTTTTCAAGCATCTCAATACATTCATCATATCGTTTTGCATCTCTGGCATCAGGTGTACCGATAAGATATTTTAATAATGAGCTGAACCCGTCTAGTAGTTCTCTTTTCTGTCTAGAGTTCTTACCTAGATATATATTTAATTCTGAAAGTTTATCATCAATTTTATCGAGGCTAATTTTTAAATATGATTTGGTAGAGAGAACATTGGGGAAGGATGGATACTTTGAATACAATTGTTCGAATCTATTTGCTAATCGAAGTAATGATTCGTGAGCTATAAATAGAGGTTTGAGGTCGCGATATATTATGAGTTTCCACGAGTCGTCGGATATAGAAATGGAGCCTTCTTCTTTATAAAACAATCCTGAGTGAGTCGGTAGAGGCTCGGTTAAATTGGCAACGATTCCTGCGGTTGCCCTGAAAGTGACGAAAGACCCGTGTTAGAACTAGATTTGCATTTATTTCTAATGTAAACGTAAAGTTGGTACATGAAAATATATAAAAGTAATTTCAAAATTGAGCAAATAATAAAACTAATATATGGGTTTTGCATAAGGTTATAAAGATTATAAGGATTAGTGGGTTGAGCCATTGTAGAACTAACCCTGTAAAATACAATATTTTTTTATAAAAGTGAAGTTAAAATTATTGTTAATGTTGTAATCTTAAACTAATGTTTCATGCACATGATACGGTCTAAGCCTATTTGCGTGCACTAATTGGTTGCGATTCGATTTTTTTATTAAATAGTTATGATTAAAACCCACTCGCATAACTACAAAAGGTCCCTCCCATTTAAGGTCTAAGTTGTTTGGATTTGGTACCTTCAGCATAACTTTGTCGCCTACATTGAACTTGGCTATATTCTTTATGTTAACGTCATAACGTTCTTTAGCTTTTTCTTTCATATTTTGTACGTTACGACGAGCAATGTCCCGCGACACTTTGAGTCGTTCGTTAAGATCGCGCAAATAATCATGAGTTGTGTAGTCGTTATTTTCTTTGAATGAATATAATGATCGAGGTTTGTAACCGAATAGTAGTTCATGAGGTGTGAGACTGGTTGATTGATTAACTGATGTATTATGACACATAACAGCAAAAGGTATGATTTGGTCCCAGTTTGATTGATTTCGTTTATGGTACATTCGTATATGATCACGCAGGGTAGCGTGGAAGCGTTCGAGAGCACCGTTCGTCTGCGGATGGTATGCAGTACTGACAGTGTGGTTGGATCCGAATAGTTTCATTAATTGTTTAAGGACGCTGTTAACAAACTCGGTGCCTTGGTCCGAATGAAATCTTTTCGGTATACCGTAGTGCTGACAGAAGGTCAATAAGGTTTTAGCTATTGTTGTTGCTTGCTTGTCGATTATGGGGTAGGCTTGAACAAATCTAGTCAGATCATCTTGTAGCGTGAGTATGTATTTATTTAATTCATTGGTTACTTCGGAGTATGATACTAGGTCAATTGTTACACGTTCGAATGGTTCGTTGTAGGAAGAAGTGATGATCATAGGGGCTTTGTAGGTTTTTCTTTGGATTTTGTTTCGTTGGCAAATTTGACAATTTTCTACGTAGTTTTTAATAGTGTCAGACATTCCTTTCCAAAAATATTCAGATCTAATTTTACGCGTAGTTTCTACTATGCCTCGGTGACCCGCTAAGGGATCGTCGTGGAAGGTTTTGAGTATTTCGCGAATATCTTCTGTTTCGGGATATTTAACTTTATTTTCACATATAGTGATATTGCACTCATATACGTCGGCGAGATAAGCTGTGATGTGGAGTTGTTCATTTCCTTTAAGTTTACAAGTAGGGTCGTTCTTTAGCTCAGGAATATGAAGTGATTTTAAGTCGTGATTTTGTAAGCAGTTAAGGAGGATTTTGAAGTAGCTTTCCGAATTCCATGCATCAAAATGTGTAGGCTTTGAACAGCCAAATATAATGTTTTGGTTTCTGTCTGAGATTAATAAGTCAACCTCATAAAGATCTTTGGCTTTGTTTAAATAAGGATCTACTTGGGAACACATAGAGATAGCTTCGTTGAAAAGGTTATCTTTGTCTGATAATTCACATGAAGTGGGTATAAGAATGTTTTTGTGACGGTCGTTTAAGAGGCGATCCGACGAAATATGAAGGTTTGGAGTATCGAAACTATACGAGGAATTTTGTAAGAAGTGTTCATAATTCATTTGTAAATAATCATCAGAAGTGTTTTCGCATGTGTTGAGAGGTTCGTCTTCAATGAGATCAATAACGTTGGCATTATGAATAGGGGGCCGTGAGAGTGCGTCAGCGTTGGTATTATTTTTACCTGCTTTATATATGACTTCGTACTCATATTCTTCAAGTTTGAGACGCCAACGAACTAAACGATTGCCTGGGTCTTTAATAGAAAAAAGCCATGTTAGAGGCTTATGGTCTGTGACGATTTTAAACTTTCGGCCAAATAGGTAGGGTCTAAAATGTTTAACAGCCCAGACAATGGCTAGTAACTCACGTTCGATTGTTGAATAGTTACTTTCGGCTTTATTGAGAGTACGCGAGGCGTATGCAATAGGTAAGTCTTTACCTATCTCTCCCTGAGATAGTACAGCACCTATTGCGTTTATTGAAGCATCTGTGGTCAAAATAAATTCCTTAGCAAAATCGGGATATTGTAATATAGGAGGATTAGTAAGGAGACGTTTACATTCATCAAATGCAATTTGTTGGGTCGTACCCCACACGAAAGAGACTTCCTTTTTTAATAGGCTTGTCAGAGGTTTTGTTAGATTACTGAAATTAGATATGAATCGACGGTAATATCCTGTGAGACCTAGAAATGCTTTAATGTCTTTGCAGGACTTAGGAATAGGAAAATCTTGAACAGCGCGTACTTTATCTGGATTTGGTTTAACACCTTCGTTGGATATGATATGGCCTAGATAGGCAACTTCACGTCTAAGGAATTCGCATTTGTCAGGTTGTACTTTAAGATGGTATTTTCGAAGTCGAGAGAATACTTCTTGAAGTTTTTGTTCATGTTCTTGGAGACTAGAGGCAAAGATCACGATATCATCGAGGTATACGAAACATCTTTCTCCTTGCAATCCACATAAGACGGAGTCCATTACGCGTTGGAACGTGGCTGGTGCGTTTTTCAACCCGAAAGGCATTCGCTTATATTCATAATGGCCGTAAGGGGTATTGAATGCCGTTTTAGAGATGTCATTTGGATCAACTTCTAACTGATGGAATCCTGATGCAAGGTCTAACGTGGTGAAGTATTGGGAGTGTCCTAATTTGTCTAATATATCAGTAATGTTAGGAAGAGGATAACTATCACCTACTGTGACTTCATTTAATTTGCGATAATCTATGACTAAACGCCATTTTTGTTTTCCGGAAGCGTCTGGTTTCTTAGGTACTACCCAAATAGGGCTACTCCAAGGGGAATTGCTAGGTCTAATAATGTCTTGGTTTAGCATGTTTTGTACCTGCGTCTTTACTTCATTTTCATGAATTTGAGGAAAGCGATATGTTTTAGTATGAATGGGTACATTAGTGGTAGTAGGGATTTGATGTTTTGTATGATTACTAAACGACAATGGGTCTCCTTCTACGAAAAATATATCACTGTATTCGGAAATGGTTTTATCTAATGATGTTGACTCTCCTTGTTTAAATGATTTCGTCTAACCAGAGACAGTACTTTCTTTTGTCTGTCGGTTTGTGATATCGAGTTAAAACTATTGATTAGTTGACTATTGTTATCTTCCGTTAGCTCATCGATGTTAATGGGTTTGACTTCGATGTTTGGCGTTCTAATGACTTTATCGGAATTATTAGTATTTATACAAGTAATTGAAAACATGTTGTTTTGAACGTTGACTATAGCGTGGGGAATAATAACACCATTATATATAGTTTGTTTTTCAACTATCGCTGTACCGGATTTAATGCTATTTGTGTTACACATAATTACGGTTTCCGTTCGGCTATTAATTATTTGTTTATCTGCCATCATTCTATTTTCAGTACATTCGTCAATATAATGTAGTTTGTATGATTTATTACCTATTCTCATTGTTTTTGATTGAATGAAGATATTACAATTAAATTTGGTCATAAAATCATTTCCTAGAATACCGTCTGCTTTTATATTAAGATTAGCAACATGGAATTTAAATTCAGGTAAACCATCTAGAGATATATTAGCAGTACCTGAAGTAGTGGTCGAAGTTTGAGTGCTAGAAATACCTACGATTGATACGATGTTAGATTTATCCAAAGGAATAGAACCTATTTTGTCGTCTCTAATAACTGAGATTCCTGCTCCCGTATCTATTAAGAGCGTAACGGATGTTTCTTTAATAAGAAAGGTGCAATATAATAGATTTTCGGGTGGCACATCATTCAATGCGGAGATTGCAAATGATTTGACGCGAGATTTTGCTGTCGAAGATTTGCATTTGATTTTTGATTTAGATTTTGATTGGAGACTGGATTTAGAAGATGCTGTGGAATTAGGATTTTCGACACTAGAAGATTTCGGATTTTCGATGTTAGAAAATTGTCTGGATTTGGGAGTTTGTATGAAGTCAAGGGTTTGGGGCTGATTACCCTGTCCGTAGGTTTCGACTATAATAATTTCGTGAGTTTGAGTAGATATAGAACATTTAGAACTCGGGTTTTTAGAAAGTTCACTCGTTTGAGTACTAGCGTCTCGAAAATGTTTTTGGTAGCGAGATTCGTTCAGTACCTGTTTATTTTGAACTATGGAGCTAGTACTAGCCGGTCCTCGATGGACTGAATTCGGCGTGTAAGCGTTGAACTTCCTTATATGATTTTTTAAGGGTTCATTTGTATGGCCTCCAGGTTTATTTCCTGGTTTAACGTTTGTGTCTGGAGAGGCGAGCAAGGGATCAAAGCGGTTTCCAGCGAACTGCTCGCTTCGCTGGCCGCTAAATTGTTTAAATGATTTACTTTAGTGGGAGGTAATGCACGGAAATTTTGGGGTGGTATGTTTGAGTTTCTAATGCTGTTATTATACTCTCTTTTTCTACAATCAGCTATGAGGTGACCTGGTTTTTTACAGTAATTGCAAGTGACGGTTTCATGTGTTGATGTTTGTGACACATAACGTGGGGATGTATTAAGGCGTCGCGTTACAGATTGGTTATTAAGTGTAGATCTAATTTGTGGTCTAGGACCGTTGACAGTTTGACCGACGGCTGGTACCCTGAATAGCGCTTGCCTAGCATTATTCATGGCTCGAATCTTATCTTCTTGTAACGCGAAACGACCCGCTTCTGAGAGGTTGCAAAAATTTTTTGTCCTCAACATTGTTCCTATGTCCGAACTAATTCCATTGACGAATACAGACAAGGCGGTTTCTTCTGTCGTTGCTAACCGGCCTGCGAGCGTATTGTCCGATATTTCTGCTGTTAATTTTTCAATGATTTTACTTCTACAGAGGTCTACCCGGTGAAAATATTCAGTCATCGTTTCATTTAATTTTTGAAACATAGATTGTAGTTCAAGGTTGAGATGGTTAATAGTTTTTATTTGTGAGAATTTCTCGACAAGGAATGATTTGAGTTCAGTCCACGTTTTGTATTGTTTACAGTGGACATCGGATGCATCTGGACCAGTGATGTTATTTAGGGTATACACTAGAAGTATCGGTTCCTGATCTGAAGTAGCTAATTTAAATGCAGAATTGCAAGATCGAACAAATCTATATAGCTGGTTATTTTCTCTGGTGTCGAATGACGGAATTAATTTTAGTAGTGTTGATATGTCTAGAGCCATCTTTTCGATTTTGATTTCTAATGACATTAGGAGGAATTTTTAGAAAGGGGTAATATATATATATATATATGAAAATATTAAGATAGGTTTGGTTTTTAGAGGATTTATAGAGCAAACAAGTTCAAACCACTCACCATAACAATATCATAAACTGGAGCTGCATGTTCGGCGAAGCGCGTTAAAAGCCTGTGGCTACCGCGTGTTGTATTGCTGGGCGATGCTGTCCCGATGCTCATCTTGCACGTTATACTTCGTCTTACACAGTATCCTACCGACTGCGCCAAATTGTTACGTGGCGAATGAATCAACTTGCTTTTTAAAAACTAGTTTTATTACACACACAGAATTAAAGAATTAAAGAATTATACAGAATATGTTATTATGATGAATTTAGAATTACGACTGCCGCCGGAAGAATGGAGGCGGTCTTTAAGTACCATTTATTGTTATTTACTATTCTCATGATTTTATCTTTAAACAAACAAAATAGATTACCTTATAAACTAAAGGACTTATTAACTAATGATACATTAAACATTACATTAAAATACTTATTAACTAATCGGTCATAACATAACAAGAGGTTGAGATGCCGACTATTATATTGCGAGGAAGTGTGTCGCTAGTTATGGTCGGATGTAAGGTACAGGAGTGCTGTTTCTGTATGCGGTGTGTGGTTTCTATAGTCAGTAACACTGGAACGAGAAAAAGGATACCTAATTATGTATTTTAAAATCACTAGTATCCTGACGAGTTAGGCGTAATGCCGGTTAGTCAGGGAGAGAAACACCTCAATGCCTACAATATTCACAATTACCTATCTCTTATTTGTTTTTATAATAATATAAACACTTTCGCTCCAAAACTCCCGCTGCCTCCGTTCAATCATCCGTCATCCACTTGTCAATGTCACATAGATTACTTTAGCTCTGGCCTCTGACGTTCCGTTTCAGGTTACATGATTATTGACTTTACCATTTTAATTAATGGTGCGTCACACGATAGTTAACAGTCGGCCATCCTGCAATAGTGTCTGGCCCAGACACATAGGTAACTGATGAGCGTAGTCATGCTTATCAAAGGATATAGTGTCTACAGGATCATATAACAAATACTTAACTAAATAAACTAAAGATACACATTACTTTCATAACATTGACTATCTTAGTATACTGTCAAAGGTTTACAATCTAAAATCAATACTAACAGAGCTAAGTTTCGGCATGCATTCAGAAATGCACAAAATATAACATAACATATATTAATTTACATAATCCAAATCACCCAAAAACATGAACAACCTTTTAGAGTAACAAACAATTATTTGGCGGTGATTAACTTCTATGAGTCAGACTGTAACATATCACCATCACAATGTAAGTTTCAGATCTTATGAGCATTGCATTTTTTTTATACCTCCAAAATAGAACTTGACATTTCTCATCATGAATATTTTAACGGATAAATTTAACATATCAGTGAAAAAAAATATAAAGAGAAAGTAATATTCTCGTGACATAAAATTAGAACAAAATCGCTGCCTGCCTTCACCTAACTAATAGAAAATAACAGGTGGTTCTAATACCCTCAATACTACCACTATTTTACTTCGACGATACTCTTGATTTACCAGAGAATTATTTTAATATAACATAATTCATTGAATTTCAGTTATGATTTACTTAATAATACCATCAGCTCACTGGTCAAGTAATCTATTGCACCCTTTGAACCCTGTACATTTAGGGGACTATAAATGATTGTAGATACTGATCTCAATTTTCTTTACAACACCAGTTTAACATAAACCAAAACCCACTGTTCCAGATTAATGTGAAATAGAAATAATCTTTATTCAAATAAACTTAATATAAGCACTTTTGAGTAGTCAAGTTTTTTGAATCTATCGCTTATTCGGAACGCAGATTCATCACAAGAAGAATAAACAAGAAACCTGTGTGTTACTCTTTTAAACAAATATTGATTTACTTATATTTAATTAACAACAAGGATTAGGCATGCGGCAATCAACATAAAAACCGCTACGCACTTAATCTCCGTTCAATCAGACAACATTGACAGCGCTATGAATTTCAAGTTAGATATTTTATAAAAAACACTAATTTATAAATGATGACATTTATAAATTCTTCAATTTTATAATAAGCTTTTTTTTTTTACAAAGAAAATATTTTATGACACATTTGATTTCTTTTTCTGGCAAATTGAGTACAGATTCTGGGAGTTTGTTGTAAAACCTTGCGCAATTTCCATAAAACGAATTACTAACTTTCGTCAAACGAACGTGAGTTTAGTAAGCCTACTATTCACTTTATATTTAATCGATGGTATTCGTAGCCACTTCGGCCATCCAACGTTATCGAAGGGCCTCATTCGATATTATCATAACAGTTAACATCGGGTAATATAATAAAATTAAAATCATATAAAATTTAGTTTGAGATAATTTACATACTTAAAATATGAAAGTTGCCACTGACAACTACACATTACATTTCAACATCATGAATTCAGTCTTTGTTATATTTTTCCGCCTTAAGTTGTATCACTTAATTTTTCACACCAGGTACTAGTCAGCATCTCTGCAAACACGGCTGCCTAGCTAATTAGTGAAATACCTGTTAAAACAAAACATTAAAAAAATGCCACCGCTTGCCCACTATGAGCTACGGTCTCAACAGATCTGGATTTTATTAGACTCAGCCACCGCTTGCCCGCACAAGGAGCTACGGCCTCAAACTGGTCAAATTCTCATTAGACTCAGCCACCGCTTGCCCACACAAGGAGCTACGGCCTCAAACTGGTCAGATTCTCATTAGACTCAGCCACCGCTTGCCGCCACAAGTAACTACGGCCTCCAACTGAAACACATCAAATATTTAACAACTGGTCATTTTCTCAATGAGGCATTCACCGCTTGCGCACGCAAGGAGTTACGGCCTCCAACTAGTCATATTCTTTATGGTACTATGCTATTTTTACTTCAGCCTCAAGTGCTCTACATTGCAACTCAACTATGGCTTATATGCACTCCCATCAAATTTTACTATTACTTTTTATTCTATTACATTTCTTTAAGAACTGGATTTCTTGGTTCCATTTTACTATTTCTCCAACGCTTTAAAGGACTTTATAACATTTAATCATAAGTTAATTCAATTTAATTATGTACCAAATTCGAATTATATATCTGGTTGATATATATCTATCAATTTCTGAACGAACTTGCAATATATTACTACCACATACCCTACTCCTATTATTATCTACCAAATCTTGAATAGCATCAACAAAAAGCGAGTCGTTCGTTGTACGTCGCATTGAGCACACGCGGATCCCCATTTTCTCCGTGAACTAACGTATACGGAACCATCAGCCGTGATCTCAGCGCAATCATCTCATCAGTATATCATCAAATCTAAATCACCATCATTTACCTTAAAATCCATAAATCGTATTCATAGTCATATGATTATTATATTAATCTCATAATTTCATCAAAGTATTGCAAATTATTTTTCATTGTCATATCAACCGCCCATTCTATTAGCCATTTTGCTCATAATTCAGCTTGTCATCGATTGTAACTCATCATTGTATCACTAGCATTCCTTAATCTTTCAGATCTATTCGTTCATGTACAACTCTTCACCGCGTATATTTACCGACTATTTTCCATCGAGGTGTATCAAATTTTACCTTGCGATCGTCCTTACTACAATCTTGCAGTGTAACTATCTTGTACACCTCGAGCGCTTTATTCATAATATTTCTAAAGTGTCTGTATACGGTGTCTGGGTTCTATAAATTAGCACCTCTTCTAATTTCCCATTAATTACAACACATTTTCTAAAATATTCTGCGTATTCGGCTGTAACTTTCTGCTTACTAGCAGACCATGCTATCAAGCCATTAGTTATATTTAAATTCCAGACACATAAAATCAGTTCTGAAAGGATTAATTTCAATTTAAACTATTTAGTTAGTAGAATAGTCAATCCGATTTCTCCAAAGGGCGTTCAGCCACACATACAAGTGCATATAGGTGCTCAGACTAATCTATGGAATCAAATGCCCAGCATTTGATTGCGTTGATCATTACTTATAAAAATTTTAACTTCCGTCGTCGTCAAAGACAACGCTTTAAATTTAATTCAATCTTATTTATCTGATGAATATCAACCAAATATTTGAAAACAACATCACCGTTATTATTATAAACTTCCAATATCTCTACACCTGTAATTTTGTACAATTCAACATTAAAACACCCTGACTTATTTAATACATCCGTTCTCGTATGCTATGCAAGTGACAACATCAATTCTTATATGTTGATGAGTTCACTATTAAAAGCCTTAGTTAACACTTTTATTTTACTTCAACTCAACAGTTATGTCAAAAGTTACAATGGTCTAAATACAACACATCCAATCTCATATTCAAGTCAATTGAGTCAACATGTATACCAACAATTCTTACATGCTCGTTAATTTAGCATTATACGCTTCGATTATACTTTTTTTTTTTTAATCAGTTAAAATCTTAATAGATACAATATCTCAAGATTTAACAAAGGTTAACTAGAAATTAATAAAATTGGCAAAACCATCTACAACAGTAATTTATAAATGTAAAATTAAATCCTTAACAATATTTAACTTTCTTATATCTTAACTTTCATTTATATCCTCTAGCAACTTTTCTTATATATTCCTGGGATTAAATTGACAGATATAGCCTTACTTCCACAACTTATATTCTCTCTCATTTTATTTGCATTGGATATAAAGGTCTCTTAAAACAGTTATAGGTTCAATAGGATCCTTTCAACTTAAATCTAGTATACCCATGTACACTTTTCAAAACTTTAATGCTCATACATTTAACAACAATCAATTGTCCTTTTGTTTTTTTTCTTTTAACTACCTGTGCTTCTTAAATTTGTATTCACTATAATACCATCATAATTAAAGAACAATGGCTCAGCTCGCAAACATTTTCTC